GCGATCCACAGCGCAAAGTTGATGTATTTACTCAGTGACCAGCATGGATCAGCTCCAGGCATGACGAAGCGGATATCGTCCTCTTTTGGAAGGCCAAACAAAGTAGTTTCGCTTTCACAACGAAACACACAGCGTTTTCACGACATGGCGGCAGCGGCAACAATACTACAGCGAGAATAAAAGTTACGCCTTCTTTCTTTGCATGAACATTTGGGCGGCGTTATGAAAATCTTCCCACATAGTGAGGTAGACATGTGGGGTGTGTTAGAACGAGCCGTTTTAGGTAGGTGTGGTTGACTCTTAATTTTATAAAGAATATCTCTTTGGATTTGAGACTTTAATCTTTGCAACTTTACAGATCTTCTTTATGCACCAAGAGCTTGTAACACTCCAAAGAGAAAGGAAAAATTGAAATCGCATCATATGACCCCTTTAACCTAGTTTAGTGATAGCTGAAAATAATGATAGGATGATGATCTGTTCTTTTCCTGTCTTCTGAATCTTCCAAAACCTGTATATTTGAGGACAAATTATCCATGTATCTGGTTTGTTTGTTCCTCTGCTCCTTCTTGACACATAAAGGTCACAACTGCTTTGTTCTGTGGATTCACAGTGTGACCATTAAACTAAACTGTACAGATCCAGTCTGGCAAGCCCACGTAACCGATTAAGCATGAGAACACACAGCATTCTTCCTGTAGCTTCACCCGAATCAAATAAACATATTTCATGGCATATTAACTTTTTTCCCTCATGCTCATTTAGAAATACAGATGTAAATAAGAATTTCTACTTTTCCCCAAGGTCAGACCACGGACTCATCCCCAGACGTGAGATCCCCTCTGAATGAAGTCACCCCGAAAGATCGCATGACTTCAGAAAGTGACATTTTGGAATCACGAGCCAGTACAGCCTATCAAAGCGTCTCCTCTCCTTCAACAAATTTGTCAACTGACGAGGTCAGACCTACTGTTCCTTCTCCATCACAGTCATCCAGAGACACTGTAGTGCACAATGACACCTCTCCTTCATCAGCCATCTCACAGACCCCGGAGCTACAAGATGTCACCACCCTCAACATGGACACAGCCTCAGTACCAGGCAAGACTAATACAATTAAACCTAATCTAATTGCAAATGCTATCTGTCATTAATCAGTCTAACTAAGGTCTGAAAACAAATTTGCCATCCATTGTGTTGAGAACAACAACATGCAAAAATGAACAGTTTACGGAGAGCTGAAAGATGCAGTACATTTTATATTGACAGTCTTGAAGATAAAATGTAAAACTCTGCACTGAAAAGAAATGTGGTGTACACTGTAAAGTTGTAAATAAAACATTGTTGCAGTACGTTTTACAATAAAATGTTATGTTTAATTCAGCGTGTTATATGCTGATTCTTTGTAATTAATTGTGAAATTTAGTAGCAATTTCTGAGTGAAAACTGTCTGCACCAATGTTCTTCAATGTAGGATTTATGTTGAAACAGTTTTTACAAATTGCTAGTAAAATGCATGACTAATTAGAGCCTGAGTTGGAAATTTGAGTTAGATTCTGACCTGTTTTTAAATGCTTCCATAAAACTTTTTATTTTTTGCATTTGCCATTATTAAATTGTTATATTTTGACTGCTCTGGATTGGTTCAGATCCTATTTAACTGATCGTTGTCATTTTGTTTTTATGGATGGTCACAGATCAGAGGTCGGTCCTGTTGGTACTGGTGTCCCTCAGGGCTCATTACTTGGTCCCTTGCTTTTTAGCATTTATATTTTTCCTTTTGGTCAATTGTTAAGATCTCTCGAACTCAACTATAATTTTTACGCTGACAATACGCAGATTTACATCCACTCATATCCGGGTCAAGATGTGAATATTTTCCATCTCTCACACTGTCTTTCTGAGATTAATTTGTGGATGTCTGACAATTTCTTGTGTTTGAATAGTTACAAAACAGAAGTTATGCTTCTTGGCTCTCCCCATAAATTGCGTAACGCTGGATCTTTAGCTTTGTCTGTTGACGGTGTTGCTCTGGAGTTACAAAGTAAATGAAAAAATCTGGGTGTCATTTTCAATCCCAGCTTGTTGTTCGAGCCTTTCGTGCTGAACACTGTTAAGATCTCGTTCTTTCATCTTAGAAATATTGCACGTCTACGGCCTTTGCTGTTTTTCTCTGTTGCTGAAAGGTTAATTAATTATTTTGTCTTTTCTCGTCTAGATTATTGTAACAACCTTCTTATTGGAGTCTCTAAATCTTGTATTAACAAACTACAATATTTAAAAAATTCAGCAGCTAGAATTCTGTCAGGGGCCAGGGTTGTTTATCATATAACTCCTGTTTTGGAACTGTTGCATTGGCTCCCGGTTAGATTCCATATTGATTTTAAAGTTTTATGTTAACATACAAGGCACTGCATGGTCTGACTCCTCAGTACTTGGCTGAGCTTTTAATTCCTTATACACCTAGCCTAGATGGTGGCATTGCTCTCATATTGTTGTAGAAGTTGAACACGATGCTTCAGATATCATGCACTGACATTTGCATTTGCGTTTGTCTTCTAGTGTGAGTGCTTTCATGTGGGTGTGCATCACTTTGTTTCACTTTAAAGATAAAACACTGGGCTTAATGTGACTGAATCCAGACTGAACTCGTGAGACTCTCTGGGAAAGTGCCACATTCCACCCTCTTGATCAAATGTCTGTCCGTAAATAATTGCTGGTCGTGGGTGTAACATTTTGGAACACGACTGTGTTTGTAAATAATCCCTCTCACATACTGTCATTTCACTGGAAACACAGCTATATTTAGGGCAGTTGAATATCTACTTATTGGTTAACTGCACGTATGCCAGACCTTAAGTATGACTGTTACAAAACAACACTCACACTCTTGTTCTAATATGCTTCTTAAATCTTACTTTTCTTTCTTCGTTTGTTGTTCAAAGCTTGTCTTTCTATGCCTGTTTTTCTCCTGCAGGTTCTTCTGCTAGCAGCCCGTCAATTTCTTTTTTGAAGAGCACCGTTTCAGATTCAGTAGCCACCACAGCTCCTGCAACATCCATCAGTCCAAGTGAAGGACCTCAGACTGTCTCTTCTTCAGCCAGCAGTGTGATCCAGACAACACAAACAGCTCCACCATTCATCACCACCTGCCCTCAGGCATCTCAGATCGCCCTGACCAGCAGTTCAAAGGTCACTGGACCTGCTCCTTTGGAAGACCAGGATGAATCTTCTGAACTGGATGTGGGGGATCAAGGTGTGTGGATAGCAAATGTTTTCCTGCCATTGACGTTAAAGGGATAATTCACCCAAAAATGAACATTCTTTCATTATTTGCTCATCATCCAAAAGACTTTCTCGTTCAGCTACAGTACACAAAATAAAATATTTTTTATAATTTTTTGCGTCCCTCCATTTAAAGTCCTTGCAAAATAAAACTTCAAAGGTCCATTTTAGAAGTAATCCATATGAATCAAGTGGTTTAGTCCAAGTCGTCTGAAGAGGCAATCGATTTATGTGATGTGAGGTTAGGGATGTCCTGATCAGTTTTTCTGTGCCACCGATCAAATCCGAGTCATTGAATATTGAGTATCTGCCAAGTCTCAATCCAATACTTGTATACACACACTGTAGATGTAAACATGTTACATTAGTAAACGTTGTAAACAGACTGTGTGGTAACATTTATGAATATAGGACTACTGATATAAACCTCTTGTATTTAATATGAACAATAAGCAGAATAATTGCAACATAAAGGGAAAAAAGTGGAGATAAGGTTAGGAAGCATGATGCTTGTGGTGTCCGAATGCCAGTCTGTCAGTCAAGTCTTGTCCAAGACGCAACCCATAGCAACGCCTTATGAAGTTTGAGCACATTTGAGCATCTTATTTTCCTTTTAATGGTAGCTGGCAAATCTACTGGAAGGTGCATAGTGCCACTTTCAGCATGACACAGACATGACAGCTGATGTAAAAAAAGGATTGGGCTTAGGAGAGCCGATACCGATCAGTTAAAAAAAATGCTTCATCAGCCCCGATCCTGATCCTTGAGATCAGCTGTGGACATTTCTAGAAAATAATTTAATTTAGACTTTTATATAAATGTTGATCAACGCACATAAATTACATCAAATATGGTAAACGGAAGCTCAGCCGTACATGCCTGACAACAAGCACTTTTTATTTTTGAGTGAACCTTTAAGTATGAGAGAGAGTTGTGTCTTTGGTCTTGCTGTCGAGGTCTAGTAAGCACAATGACATGATCATTTCATTATTTTTCCATCTGCATTTACTTCTGTGCTCTGTACATGATGTTCCTTCAGTTTTATTGGTTCCTGTGATAGTGATAATCAGATTCCGCTCAATTCATCAATCTTCTAGAATCAGGGAAGGTTCCCCACCGCCCTACATCGCCCCTGGACCCCCTTCTCGCTGCTCTGGTCACCGTTTTCATTATTTGCACTGCCATGGTCTCAGCCGTCCTCTTCCTCAGGTTCCGTCAGCGGAGTGAGCATCCAGAATTCCACCGGCTTCAAGACCTTCCTATGGTGAGTCTTGCATTTGGGCAGCAAGTTGTGATACTTAAAATTGAGACCTTTGAAAGGTTTATAGATTTCCATTAGAGGTCGAACGATTGATCCATTTTGCCGATTAACTGGGACCGATAACTGACTGCTGGAACAATAGCGATAGTTTTTTCAGGTTGCATCCATTGCTGGAGCAACTGAGAAGGTCCACTGTCATTATACAGAACGAGAGCCGCCTCCAGAGGCAGAATCAATGACGCCTCGTTGAGTTTGTTTGTTATGCATCTGTTATCCAGCAAAGTTGCATATTTAAAGCTAGTGACGTCTGACAAATAAAAAAATAATTATTGTCACTGTAATACATATTTTGTTATTTTTATTAGATAAGTCAAGCAGAGAAACAAATAAAGTGGGAGAGTATACATACAATATGCATTTGTATCTAATCTCAATGCTATGGACTTATTAGATATTTGTAGATATTTATTTTTATTTGAAATGGTAACACTTTACCAGTACATTTGTAACATTAACTAAGGATAATAAATGCTGTAGAAGTATTGTTCATTGTTAGATTGTTAATTTCATTTACTAATAAATATTTTTGTTTAAGTCCTTTTTTTACATTTTTGTAATAAAGTTCAGTGCTATTTTACTTGGAATATTATGTTTGTTCTCATTCATTATCCATTTAAAAAACGATCGTTATCGGCCAGTGTGCCCCAGCCAGTTATCGGTATTGGTAAAATCCACTATCAGTCGACTTCTAATTTACATGATAATGCTAATTGTGACATTTTTTGCAAATGTGGTGGCAACACTGATAACGATCAAATTTGACAATTCAAGTGCTGACCTCAAAAATAAAAACCTGATGTGCTTTTCTGCAGGATGATCTTCTAGAAGACACGCCTTTGTCAAGATACACCTATTAGCAATCAGGGCTGCACGATTAATCAAATTATTAGATAAGTCAAGCAGAGAAACAAATAAAGTGGGAGAGTATACATACAATATGCATTTGTATCTAATCTCAATGCTATGGACTTATTAGATATTTGTAGATATTTATTTTTATTTGAAATGGTAACACTTTACCAGTACATTTGTAACATTAACTAAGGATAATAAATGCTGTAGAAGTATTGTTCATTGTTAGATTGTTAATTTCATTTACTAATAAATATTTTTGTTTAAGTCCTTTTTTTACATTTTTGTAATAAAGTTCAGTGCTATTTTACTTGGAATATTATGTTTGTTCTCATTCATTATCCATTTAAAAAACGATCGTTATCGGCCAGTGTGCCCCAGCCAGTTATCGGTATTGGTAAAATCCACTATCAGTCGACTTCTAATTTACATGATAATGCTAATTGTGACATTTTTGCAAATGTGGTGGCAACACTGATAACGATCAAATTTGACAATTCCAAGTGCTGACCTCAAAAATAAAAACCTGATGTGCTTTTCTGCAGGATGATCTTCTAGAAGACACGCCTTTGTCAAGATACACCTATTAGCAATCAGGGCTGCACGATTAATCAAAAAATAAATAAATAAATAAGAAATCACGATCTCGATTCATACATAAATGTGATCTCATTTCTAAATGACAGCGATTCACTTGCATGTTTGTCCCTCCATTCAGATCACACTGCATTCACTTATTTACTTTACAACAATCCAAGATGCTATCAGTCAGACTTATTGGTCACAATCACACAGTGTAAAACAAAACACTTCTAGATGAAAAATATCAGTTTCTACCAAAAATATCAGTTGTCAGAAGATGAAAGCGATATATTTGTCGTAGTACACTTTCAATGTTTAAGGGGATTTCCCGCGTCAGCACTGTTCAATGCATTGCGTCAGTGCCATAGATCTCTATGAAGTGAAATATCAGCTTCAGCGTTACTAAGGTGATGTGTTGCTGGTCGATTGACGCTTGTGAGGTGGTGTTTAATGATGATTATAAAACGGATCGTTCCGGTCCTTGATTCTGATTGGCTGAGCCACGTTCAAAGCTGTTGTAAATTACTCTACAAACATACACCTTTGTTTACTTTGTGTGTTCCTTGGCAACCACTTTATTGCAACCTCAACTGTTTCTGAGGAACTACATTGTTTGTTGGAAGAATACCGTTTTTATTAATATCATTACACTTTATTTGCTCTGTTTTATTTTGTGAAACCTTACTACATATATGGAATAACCGTTTTATAAAAGCACCGTGAAGCCGTGGTTTACAGTGAATTTATAACAGCTAAGGGGGTTTATACCATAGCTTCGCTCCGCTTCGTGCCTAACAACGCCCCTTAGTTGTTATAAATTCACTGTAAATCACGGCTTCTTGGGGCTTATTGCTTTACTCATAAAAGACAGTCCCTTGCCGCCACCTATTGGCGTAACAATGTTACTGCACTGACTGACAGCCTTCGCCTTGTGGGTTACAATTATATTCAGTTTAACATCACTTTGTATGCTCTTTAATAAGCCAAAGTATCCTAATATGGATAGTGTTTTGCGTAAGCTCCGTTTTTAAAGGCCTATTAAAATGTTCATTGTAAAATGAATATTCGTTGTGCTTATTTCTCAATTAAATTAACAATATCCAATATTACTGTAAATAATACGAACATCTTTGGTATTATTTTATCTGTAAAAAAAGGTTAACAGTGACAGTCAACAGAGAGCTTGCATATCACATGTATAAAGCTTAAATGATCAGAATCGGGATCGGTATTGGCTGATCATAATGACAAGAAGGCTAGTCGTTATTGGTTGCAAAAATCCAGATCAGAGCATCCCTACCTCAGACGTCAGCACAAAATACAGTACGAGTTAGCCATGAATGACGAGGGATCCACATCTCAAAATACCAGCCGCCAGACCACACAAAGCACAAGTGCTATTTATTAGTTTTTTTTATTTATTATTTTCATCACATTAAATATTTATTATTGTCAACATTCTATTCAACTGCTTACAGCTTTTAAGTTATTCACTTTAAGGGGTTTAAACGTATTGTTTTATTTCTTATTGTTTGTTACTTTTAAGTCCAGCACTTTATTATAACTGAAAGTCCTGTGTAGACAGCATTATTTTTTTTATTTATTTATTTTTTTTACTTGAGCACAATAAATGTTTTGGTTGAAAAAAATGAGAATGGTGTGAGAATCGTGATCTCAATATCCCATGGAGGAAAATCGTGATTCACGTTTTAGCAAAAATCGTGCAGCCCTATTAGAATGAGTGAACTGCACCATTTCATTATTTGATTCCTCAGGCAACCAGTTTTGTTATTGGTGCAAATCCCCTGAAAGATGGCTTTCTCAAGTGATCTCTGATTATGGGTTTTGATGATTCTCAGGAGGCTTCGATGCTAAAATGTGGTTGCATAATATTGGAATAAAAAAATGACATTATTTTACTATATTATTCTATACCATTAATATAAAATATCTTAAGATTCTCTACAAACATGGAGAGAAACTATAACAAACATGACCTGTAGAAGAAACCATTCACATTTTAGAGCATTTGCTGGAGATAATTTGCTTGTTCCCCCCTTTATTGGACGCTATATTTGTTCTTAAGGAATTGCTCAATATTATGACACTATCACCCTAAACCTAAACTCTTAAGACGCGGTCGCATTTACTGTCATTCAGCACATATTCACAGGTGAAATTCAGTCATTTCGAAAGGATTTTGGAAGGCGAAAGATATTCCCCTAATGCAGATTTCACAGCAGGCTAAAAAAAATGTTGTCCACCAAATTTTGCTAATATATAACGTTTTATTGTAAAGGTCTAAAATTTCTTGAATCTACACAAACAGATAGTTCTGCACTTTTTTTTCTTTTCAGGGGAATTATTTTCCAAAACTTTTTATTTTATTTATTTTTTTATTTTTTTGAAAAAACAGTTCCCTGGGTTTAGCATAATGTCTCTGGACTTTTGCACTGTTAGATCTACGACATTGTAGTAGGAAAATGTTCATTTTTATGTGAGTGTTCATAGGTTAAACTGAATTGTGATTTTGATATTTATGAGAAAGTTGATTGTCCAGATCGATAACGAAGGTATGTGAAATAACTTGAAATGTATTTAAGCATATTCACTTCTGTCTACGCTGGTATTTGTGGTAAACCTAGTGCCTAATGTACTTTGTGCCAAAACTAATTTGCGGTAAGCGAACTAATAAACATATATTGCACTGTTGTGTTGTTGAGATGAACCTGTAAAGATGAGAGTTTGTAATAAAAGAAGAAAACTTTTTTTTTTGTATGAAGCTTCATGCTATATCACATTTACATGAGTTCAAAATGGTGAAATAAGATATAGTTATGAGCACTTTAACAATGTTTTTGAACACAATATAAACTTTATCGATTAAAACTAGCAACAATGCAGCTTTCATATGTGCTATATTCTAAGAAATAGATCAATATTAAAGGTGGAACAGTAAAACCTAATGTACGTAAAATAGATTAATCATGTTAACACAGAGAACAATATTTCATATTATAGTAAAAACAGAAATACTGTCATAAAAATTGTCATTAGAATAATATAGAAAACATTGCATGAAATAATCTTAAGTTATTTTAATTATTAAAAAAACATATTTTCATAGAGTACAAAATACAATATAAAAATAACAATGACAAACGTGTTAATTTTGTGTTAAACTAAAGACGTTTCAGTTGTTTAAAAATTCATAAACCGGAACACTGATTTAATAAGCCATGTGAATATGTATCCTCATACCAGTTTTGTCTGTAAACACTGGAAAGTCCTCATCAGTCCTCATCAGTCCTCATCGATCTATGGCTGTGAAATGATGAGGTCACCATACGGCTCGTCCTGTCGCACTGTGACCTGTCCTGCGACTAAACACAAGACGAACAAGACAAGACAGCATCTCTCCCTGGATGATTGCATTTTTCAATAAGTTAAGCACTGGGGAGAATCTGATTGCATACATTTTTGTTCAATGTGGTGTTCAATCTCACACCATTATTTGCTGCTAGCAGGTGAGGAGGCTCATGGGTAGTCAGATAGCAGCTGAAGTGGAATGGGGCGACATATATCACCTTTACCTGACAAGTTTAATTCTTTCTCTCTTTAAGTCTTTGCATGTTTCTGTTAAAAATCAATTTGATAGCATCTCTCCCTGGATGATTGCATTTTTCAATAAGTTAAGCACTAGGGAGAATCTGATTGCATACATTTTTGTTCAATGTGGTGTTCAATCTCACACCATTATTTGCTGCTAGCAGGTGAGGAGGCTCATGGGTAGTCAGATAGCAGCTGAAGTGGAATGGGGCGACATATATCACATTTACCTGACAAGTTTAATTCTTTCTCTCTTTAAGTCTTTGCATGTTTCTGTTAAAAATAAATTTGATTTCAGTAGGTGGGCTGTAAGTCAATTTTCTCACTATGAAAAGTCCCATTGCCCATTTTTTACAGCAAAATCCCAATTTCATAATTTAATTTCATTAATTTTGTTTTCACTAACAAGAATCAGGCATAATAGGATGGTAAATCCTCTGCCACAATCTTACCTAGCAATCTCCAAATCATTTGGGCAACAATTCTACAGCTGGCCTGAGGGGGCAGCAGAGAGTGAAAGGTCACCAAATCTTCAATAACAACCTGTGGCCTTCAACAGAAGAACAAAAATACTTTTAGATATTATATCTGTCTATAGTCACATGCCACTGAAATGGACAAAGCAAAAAAATATAAAATAATAATAAAATATTATAAGGGTCCTATGATTTCTGCAATGCTGAAAAAAAGATCTGAAGTGAAATATTTAGAGAAAAATATCAGGAACCCATCAAAATAAAAGTATGGTTTAACTTGAAGAAATTGTGACAGAAATATATTACTATTGTACAGACATATTGAACGTATGCCTTAAAGGATTAGTTCACTTCCAGAATAAAAAATTCCTGATAATTTACTCACCCCCGTGTCATCCGAGATGTTCATGTCTTTCTGTCTTCAGTCGCAAAGAAATTAAGGTTTTTGAGGAAAACGTTCCAGGATTTTTCTCCATATAATGGACTTTAATGGGGATCAACGGGTTGAAGGTCAAAATTGCAGTTTCAGTGCAGCTTCAAAGGGCTCTACACGATCCCAGCCGAGGAATAAGGCTCTTATCTAGCCAAACCATCTGTCATTTTCTAAAAAAAATTAATAAAAATGTATATACTTTTTAACCACAAACGCTAGTCGCGCACTAGCTCGACTTCACGCATTACGTAGTCATGTTGGAAAGGTCACGCGTGATGTAGGCGGAAGCAGCGTTTACAAAGCGATCGTGCAAAGAAAGTCAAACGGCCTTCACAAATAAAGGTAAAACAACGATGTCAGTCGATTTTGAAATTGGAGAAGAAAATGAGATGAAGCTTTTCGCCCTACCCTACCTTTCTGAACCGGAGTACACAGATGAAGAGCTGACCGCGCGCAACCTTTCCAATGAGATTACGCCGTAATACATGAAGCATGCGCAAGCAGAGCTAGAGCAAGACGAGCATTTGTGGTTAGAAAGTTAATTTTTTAAAATTTTTTTAGAAAATGACTGATTGTTTCGTTAGATAAGAGCCTTATTCCTCAGCTGGGATCGTGTAGAGCCCTTTGAAGCTGCACTGAAACTGCAATTTGGACCTTCAGCCCGTTGGTTCCCATTGAAATCCCGGAGAAAAATACTGGAACGTTTTCCTCAAAAACCTTAACTGAAATAATGTACAGTATGTGGAAAATAATGTGTTTTTTGAACCTTAAACCTCATAAACACATTTCATTACACCAAATACACAAGATAATGTTCTTTTTAGCAACCTCATATGACCCCTTTAAAGTTCACATTATATGACAATAGAACCTATTTTTTTGTTTTAATACAGGTTCCTTGTTGTATTTTGCATGTCATTAAAAAATGTCTGAACCTTTTTTGAAAAACACAAAAGAGATTAATTTGTAAATGTGTCAAAATGGGTTGCAAATGCTGTTTTGGCAATGTCGCTTGTGCACATCTAAAAATAGCATGACATGTAAATTTGAATATTTTTTGTAACTAACTTTTTTGTATTTGTTTTAGGGTGACTTTGTAACATTCTGTACAGGGACTACAGATGAAAAATAGCCTTAGGCTAATTCTGGCATATTTACAGTAATGTTTATTAATGTGCACTGTCCCTCTTAAATAAACTAATAAAAGAAAAATCTTAAGTCATTGTTTAAAGCATTCATCAGATATTGTTGTCATGAAGAGAAGAAGACATCGACAGGGTTCCATTCATCTGCATTATAATATAATGTATGCTCATAATAAAACATGTCTAAGAAATAAAATAGTGCTTGACTTGGTTTCTTCATCCATCATATCAATGTTGGACTTCAAGTTAAGGCGGAGCAATCTATCTATTGCCCCCTGAGTGTCCTCTGAGAAAACATCATTGACAAACTATTACAGAAAATCAATGGACACATCACAATCTCTAAACGCTACAAATTTCATGATCCTTATCAGCTAAGACTGTGTAGTAATGCACTGTCATCTTAAAAGAGCAAAGATGCAGTCGAAACAGCAAAACATTTCTTTTGTTACATGCCGTCTTCCTGCTAAATCAATCTTTAACAAATCAAAGAATATATTAGGGGCATTTCAAAGTTAATTAATCATTAATATCATTAGCTCATTAATATCCTTATAAATCTTCTGAATGTATATTTTTGACAACAACAAAAAATGTTTTGTAGTTTTAGCACACCAACCTAACAAAAATTCACACTGTCTGTGGTAAACAAGCACCACTCCATACTGCAGCTGAGAGGACATCTTGACAGATACAGGGAGAAATGTGGGCGGGGCAATCCTGAACCAGGGGGCGGGACTCTGACCAACACATAATCCATGATGTCACAGCTGTGAAGCATATTGAAAACAACTCCTTTATTGTGTTGTTACAGCACAAATATTGCATTCCCAGTAAGAAAAAATAAGTTCATTTTAAGATCTTACAAAAATATATCCTGTGAATGATATTGTGGCAAAATATATGGATGTTGACAGTTCTTGCTCACTTTGTGGAATTATGGACACTGATCCATTTATTTTTTCAATGTGACAAAACTTAAAACTTTTGGAATAGTTCATATCTTCATATAGGCAAGCACCTTGATTCTTCTAGATCCTTTCAGTTAAGACATATAACCTGTTACTATTAAAGTAAAACTAATACTTCAGTGAATTACATTGTTCATTGTTTTTAATTTTGTTTGGAAAACGTTTCATTCATAAGCAAAAATTATCTTTTTTGCAGCCTGTTGATGCATTTCTTAAATCTCTTAGGTGGATTAGAAATAAGAAAAGTGACAGATTCTTGATATATATATATATATATATATATATTGTAATAACACTGATGCATACGTTTTTCTCTATATGTGTTTTATAATCCTGTTATCCTTTTTCGTTTGATATTTGTTTGCATTTTATTATTTATTTATTTTAATTAATTTCTTTCGTGAAACTTTACATGCAGAATTGATGTCATTTTATTCCTTTAGAGGCTCTGTCTGTTCTGTCTTTTCAATATGTTTATTGTTTGATGCAATATTTAAAATAGAAATATTAAACAAATTGTAATGGTAATACTGCAAATGCTGTAAAATAAAATTGAGTAAACAAATATTTGAATTATTTGTACACTACTTTTACTTTTAAATCCTCAATTTCTCAATTTCACAATCCTACAAAGCTATATATATATATATATATATATATATATATATACACACACACACAACACACACACTTCTTTAATTAAAGAAAAATAACTTGATTGATTTCCAAAAAAAACATTATCACCCCTAACTGACAGGGATGAACCCAATATGGATGATCCTATCAATGTCTTTAAATGTGATTATGTAGAAAATAGTTCACAAGTCATGTATGATTGCTTTCTTTTTCATTCCACAGAAAGATCCGACTGATCTTTCATCCTTTAGTGGCCGCCAACCTGAAAAATATATATTTGGTTAGAAGTTGTAGGTCACGCATCAGTTTTAACATTATACCATATTAATGGTCAGATCCTGATTGTGGATTTTTCTATACAGTGAATATAAGCACACCTTAACAGTCCTTATTCACTATAGAAAGAAAACGACAACCTACCAAATCGTGGCAAAGCACCCAGTCTGATGATTGAGCACCGTACGATAAAAAAACATTGTCAGACAAGATCAGTTTAGAGCAAAAGTTCAGCAAAAACGGCAATATCGTAATCAGTTGTGCTTTGCAAATAAGACAAACCAATCTAATTAAAGGGGTCATATGATGTTATTTTAAGGATCATTATTTTGTGTATTTGGTGTAACAGAATATGTTGACATGCTTTAATGTTCAAAAAACACATTATTTTTCAAATACTGTACATTATTGTAGGTCCTCTATGCCCCGCCTCTCTCAAACGCTTCGTTTCCAACAAAACCCCTCCTTCCGACAAGCGCAGTCTGCTCTGATTGGCCAGCTGACCCAGTGCATTGTGATTGGCCGAACACCACCAGCATGCGTCAGAAATGTAACGCCCCTAACCATAATCGCAAGCTTCATCTTTCAAAGTAAATATCCATGCTGCTTCAACACTACTGCTGTTCCTGAAACCACGCCTTCTTTCTTTGCGTGAACATTTGGGCGGCATTATGCTAATATTTCCACATAGTGAGGTAGATATGTCGGGGCGTGTTAGAACGAGCCGTTTTAGGTAGGCGTGGTCGACTCTTTAACTTTTATAAAGAATATCTCTTTGGATTTGAGACTTTAGTCTTTACAACTTTACAGATTTTCTTTAGGCACCAAGAGCTTGTAACACTCCAAAAAAAAAGGAAAACTTGAAATCGCATCATATGACCCCTTTAAGACAGCATTCTAGGGCGCATTTTATTGGACTGTCAAGTTTCCATAACAATTCCTGCTTTGTAATACACTTTACAAAATAATGAATATCGAGAAGCAATTCAATATTTGCATAGCATTCTAGTCATACACAGAATCATTAATGGCCAGTGTCAATCGTATGATCGATCAGTCTTTTATAACATGAAGCAAAAGCGAGAAAATAGAGATATGAGGTATCACGTGAGCAGTGTAGCGCGTATAATCGCCAACAGGTGGCGTATTGGTTGTGAAAACGATATAAAAACAAGTTCGATTCCCATTTGTTTTCCCACTAGGTTATGAATATTAATTACGTTTGCCCAGTATCCTCAACTGATTTGCTGAATGGCTGACGCTGACAAGTAGGCGTTGTACTACGGCTGACCCAATCCTACTACGCTGAAGGCTTATCTTATGAATATTAATTAGGTTACACTGCAGAACTCAAGCGAAAGGTCACTTGTCATGACCTTATTAATATTCATGAGCGAAGCCTTCGCCATAGTAAGTATCGGAAATACACGAAGGGAATTGTTTCACTCGTGTAACGTTCCTTCCGGACTGAACCAACCGGAAACCGCCCGCTTATAACTTTTGTCTTCGCTGTTGCAAATCGATTAGAAATATCAAACATCATGTCGGGCTCATCAAACATTGTTGCGATGAAGAAAGTCGTTCAGCAGTTGCGCTTCGAAGCAAACATCAACAGAGTAAAGGTCGGTTTGTTTCTTTTAGTGGTTTAATTTCTGAGGAAATGAACTGAAGCTAGCGAGCTAGCCGCCGGGTTGAGCTTGGGCGTGGACCTGTAGCCCGTTAGCTTTGTTTCAGTGGCTTCTCCGTTGTTTTATTAAAATAAGTTAATTTTGTAGTGAAGTAGTACTAATATCTATTGGACACACTGAGCATTAAACAGACTCTGAAAAAGAAATGTTATCTATGCCTAGCTAGAATGTGTAGTTTATCTATTCTAGACCCTCCCTTATTTATATATAAGAAACTTAGGCAATAAATACCCATTGCTCTAAAATATTACACTAATTTTCATATATATATATATATATATATATATATATATATTATAATGTGTGTGTATCATTATGTATTTAGCATTTCAGCTGATTGTGTATCAAGAAATTTGTAAGATGTGATTATTTTTATCTTTTTTTATATTTAGGTTTCTCAGGCGGCTGCAGAGCTTCAGCAGTTCTGCATTCAGAACGCCCTACAAGATCCTCTGCTGACCGGTGTGTCTTCCAGCACCAACCCCTTCAGGACACAGAAGGTTTGCTCCTTCTTGTGAGGGTCCATGATGGGCATCTGCCATTGGTAAGGAGTAGTTTAATATTTCACATTTGGTTAAAAACTAAACAATACGAAACTGAAACTAACAATTCAAATGTGTCTTCTCAGGCTTTTTCCTGTTCCTGTGACATTTCTGCTGGGAAATAAAAAGAGAAGAAAACCACTGCCATGATGTGTAATTGAAAAATCAGCAGCACAAAGCTGTCGTCTTGCCAGTTAATACCTCATGCCATAAACACAAAAACAAGAACTGAAAGGAGTTGCCTCTCTGGTTGCTTTATGTCTGTTATGGTGCATTTTCATTTTAGAAGATTTTTTTTTTTTTAAGGTCTCAGATTGATTCTCCTTCACAGCCCTCAGATTTCTGTTTGAAGACCTCAAACTAAAACGTCTGCCTTAATGAATGATAAACAACGCTCCAGTTTTGTGGAGGGGAAGGCTTTTGTATTTTTGTGTGGCACAGCAGAGGAAACGTAGTAATTTATTGTGCCTTTTTAACATTGTAATCTATTTCTCTATCTTCTCTGCCTTAGACTTTTTATAACCCAAAATAAAACCCATTGATTTCTACATGTCTCTGTTGTTTTTAATACTGTGATAGCTAAAGAATTGCTGAGGATATATTAAGAACATAATAACCAGAACAGAAGCTACAGTTTTATCACAGTGACATGATCACTGGCTGCATTTTGGACTATCTGTAGCTTGTTTATTGAAGATGCAGGACAACCACCTAGCAGTAGTCCAGTCTAGAGGTCATGAATGCATGAACTAGCTTTTGTCTATATCAGACAAAATGTATATGTTATTTCTTTAGGCTTTATTAACTATGTATTCATAATTTACATGGATATATGCCATAAAATGGTTATCGTCGGTTTGCTGCAAGCGGTTAGATTGTGACATGCTTTACTCCACCTAAATCTATTACATTTTAAATGTGTTTTTGTTGTGTTGAACATTTACAAATTCAGTTTTAAATGGTTTACGTGGAATATTTGTTTAAAAAAAATGTACTTTTAAAAGTTCATTTATTACACTACACGTGAAGCTCAAAAATGTAAAACTAAAATCTAAATAGACTTAAATTTCAAGTTGAAAGTCATAAACCTAAAATACCCTGTTGAAAAAACCAGCATATGCTGGTTAGGTATGTTTTGACGCTGGGATGCTGGTCCTTTTGCTGGTTAATGCTGGTCCTTTGCCAGCATATGACCAGCAAAAGGACCAGTATAAACCAGCAAAGGACCAGCATTTGCTTGATCAGGCAGTTAATGCTAGAACAAGAAGCTTTTTCAGTAATCCGTGTTAAAAACGGCGATCTACGGACTTTGCCATTTATATGGTCGATAAACTGGTTTTATAATTATGATATCATTATTTAGTTGGCGAGATGTGGTTGAGTATCACATTAACATGGTTTATTACTGTCTTTGTTATGACGCCCCTCTTCACTGAATGTTATCCTCGCATGTCCCGTCGTACATTTCAACGAGGAGGATCTTCGGCAGACCAGCAGCTGCTGAACAGTCAGTATCAGGCCACGATTCCTCAAAGTCCGCCTAAAATAAACGACCCCGTTCCACAACAACGTCGGAAAACCGTGTCCGCGTCAGATTCCACAAGCTGACCAGCAACTTGGTGAGCAGAAGGTAAGATTAATTAATGGATCGTTCACCCAAGAATGAAGATTTTCATTCAAAGACTGAAGTGCACTATGCGACTTGCACAGAATTTTGCCCTGATTTGCAGTGTGAATGAGTTGGCACTAGTTGCTAAAAGTCAGAGCCAATCTGCAGATATTAACTACTCAGAGTTGACAAATTTCACAGAAAATCGTATAGTGTATGATGGACACTGACACTCATTTGATGTATGTGTACATATATTCCATCCAGTTTGAGGGTATCAAACACATTTGCTATTTCAAGCTGATTTTAACCATTTGTCCTGCATCTCCTAGTAATAAGGTGTCCGTTTCTGCCTGAGCTTGTGCTTGGAATGACTTGAAAGTCTGGTAGTGTGTGTGCGTGTGATGCCCCGATTTTCTCTGTAACCATTTACAAAGTTGGTAAGCGTATGATGCCTAGCGTCTTAAAATCTGTTCAGATTTGAAGTTGAGTAGTGTATTTCAGCCTTAACACTCTCAATTCGTTTCAAACCTGTATGACCTGTTTGTTAATATGGTCAATTGTTGTTTTGGACCCCAATGACTTTCCTCATATGGATCAAAATCTTTAAAATACCCTCACTGTTGCATAGAAAGGCATACAGGTTTGGAAAAACATGAAGATAAGTGACCATTTTTGGTTTAAGACAATTTGTCTACCTACCGGACTTCATTTACTTTGGTGTCAGTCAATGGCTCTATGTAAGAACCACTGTGGACCTTGCAGTTGGCAGTCTGTGGATAGAAATAATGAGGTGTGTAACACCTGTGAGCCATCCAAACAATCTGCGGCAGAGCCTAAACCAATCCAGCCTTTCCACATCACACTAGCCCCTCCCGTCAGGCAGCCTTATTTGGCCCGAAAACCGGGACCTGCTAATTTCTTTCGTGCGAGACCCGTTCAGTCATTAGAACCCTTTAAATCTTTCATGCAATCAAGGCAGTATGCTTATGGAGGTCTGTCAAAGAGAGGAACCGACACCAAAGGTTTGCACATTTAATGTTAAGTCTCTTTGATGTTATTGTTCTCCGGTGTCATTTTCACCAGGTGTGCCACTCGTCTAAAGCCGTCCACCAGACCTGCTCCAGTCAGCGCCGAACATGGCTGAATGAACCAGTCTTGGTAACTGCAACTCTTTATCAGGTTAAACTGCTCTGTGATCTCTGTTACCATTGCAGCTCCTACAATATCTTGCGTGTTGGCAAGAACCACCATCGGGAGTCCCCTAAGGTGGTCACTCTTTAAGGTCTGTTCCAGCACACTCTTGGCCTCGTCCAGACGCTTAATATCAGAAGAGTCCACGATGAACACAATTCCAGCTGTGTCTTGGTAAAAATTCCTCCAGTGCGCTCGCATCTTAATCTGCCCTCCAACGTCCCACACGGTCAGCGTGATTTTGTCCCTGTTCTTCTTCGCTTCAATCATTTCAACATTGAATTCAACTGTAGGAACCGTGTAGAAGTCCTCATTGTACTTCAGTTTGTAAAGAAGTGTTGATTTTCCAGCCTTAGGAGGAGGATTCGTGCTTCAGCTTTGTGCCTAGATCCTGAATGGCCCATTGTATATGTCAGATGTTCACAAACACCAAAGCTTCTCACCGTGTTCTCTCAACATATGTGAGTTTACTTAAGATGGTGTCTGCATTACTCGGTGATTTATTATATCTTGCTTATTTACATAGTGCTGTATGATTAATGGGTCAAAGTATCACAGGACACCTAAAATTATGATATGCTAAGAATGCCTGGAATGGAGTCCTGCTCTCTCTCGTGTCTTAAATATTGTACACATTTAAATAAATTAAAATGAAAATCTCTTTCATGGATTCTCATGTTACATGGCAAAAATCTCATCACATAAATCCAGTAGCCCCTCACTGCAGAACACAAGATCCAGGGGGCGTGGTTGGATCCACATCTAGGGGGTGGATATTGGTAGGTTTAGGGGTGGAGATGGGTGGGTTTAGGGACCAGGGGGTGGATACAGGTAGGTTTAGGTATATGTAAGGTGGGAGGAGTTGGATCTGGATCCAACCACGCCCCCTGGATCTTGTGTGCTATCCACACCCCACCAGTTGGATCTGCCACAAAAACCAGTCCAGAGCAGTCATTGTGACAAATGCCGGGAGTGTCGGTTTTTCACACAACTTTATAGTTGTAAGTGATGTGAACTCGTTAAACTTAGCTTCCGGCAGCGCACCACCGCTAAAGCTCGGTATGTCACATGGTTCTGGTGCTGCAGTGTGAGGTTACTGCGACCAGTGGAAATACGTCAGTCAGTCAGTCTGTCAGGAAGAATGCAAACAGCAATGCGGCATAAGCTTATTCTATTTGTTTATTATTTGCCTCCAGGGCCGTCCTTAGCTGACACGGGGCGAGGTAGGGAGCGGGGCCCCCCTTGGTCCGTTCATGATCTCATTCCGGGGCGGGTGGGTTTACTGGTCTTAGCTGGTCTCCCAAGTCCCAAACTGCTCAGGCTGGTTTTAGAGGAGATCTAAAGAGGCTTAGAGGCTGTTTCAGGTGGTCACACACCAGTTTAAACTATAAGACCAGCAAAACCAGCGTAGGTTTTCCCCCGGCCTGCAATTGTTTGATCAAAAATACAGAATATTGTGAAATATAATTACAAATTAAAATAACACTTTTCTTTTTAATATATTTTAAAATGTAATTTATTCATGTGATGCAAAGTTGAATTTTCAGCATCATTACTCCAGTCTTGTCACCTTCAGAAATCATTCTAATATGCTGATTATATGTTGAAAACAGTTGTGCTGTAAACCATTTTTATAGCATAGAATAGAAATTTCAAAATGTCTTTGCTGTCACTTTTGATAAATTTAACGTGTCCCTGTTGGAATTTTAATTTCTTAAAATAAATTAATCAATAAATCATACTGAGCCCAAATTTGAGTGGCAGGATATACATGTATATTCAAAATCTTTAAAAAAAAATCAGAGAGAACAAAGACAAGCAAGTTTTGACTTGTTAGGTTTATTTATCACTTTAATCTCCCACATACATTTCACACAGTGCAAGAATTTAAACCTTTGTGTAGATTGGGGCTGGTGCCATTTTTTTCTGTAAAATAGGAGGAAAGTTGGAGGACTGTTTGCCAGTATTAATTCAACAGTCTTCACAAAATAATTACATACATACAGCAACATTCTACCTTCAATCTGGCCACTTTTGCATTCATATAACCATTAAAACCTTGGCTTAAATGAGCAGGAATGACTAGAATGAATAGGACATTACCTATTATGGAGTTTAATCCAAGTGTAACATTCTTAATCTAGCACAACCTTATTCCACCCTCATTTAAACTAACTAATGAGCAGCACCAGTGTAAATTGGCATTAATTCCTTGAACTGATATGAATGAATCATGCACATCCAAATTCAAGAGCTGGTTACGGTTTCATCATCTTAATTCACAAAAAAAAGAAAAAAAAAGAAACATGATATTTATGCATGTGCATCTTCAAGGCAATGTCCTTCTACCATTTATGCCAATTGCTGTTACACAAATAATATTGCTCTGAATAAGGAAGGTCAGGATACATCTTTACAGTTTAAGGATTTGAAAAAGGAATACATTTTCCATAAAGTGTCCATTTGGCACCAAATGTTTTACAAATTACAATAAATCTGGGAATGCACGTGTTTGCACATGTGTGTCTGTACAGTTTATTGTAATTGTGAGAGAAAAAAAAATGTTTGTCTCATATTACACCAATATGCGTCTTGCAATATGCATTAATGGAAAGACAATGGAGGCTGTTTATTGATCGGTTCAGGCTGTTTATTAGTTGAGTCCAACTACTCTCCAGTTTTGCTCCCAGAGCTGCTCTTGAACTTTACCACCATGACGGTGATGTTATCGGGACAGCCGCGGTAGAAAGACTGCAGCACAATGCTCTTGGCTCCAAAGTGCGGCTCATCCAAGCGTTCCCGCACAAAGCGTACGGCCTCCTCGTTGCTAAACGCGTCCCACAGGCCGTCGGAGGCTAGGATCATGAACTCCGGCTGGAGCTTGTCCAGGTCAAAGGTCAAGATATCTGGGTCTGGGATGACCACATTCAAGTTCTTGAGAGGGTAGTCACCGAGTGAGCGTGACATGGCGAGGATGCCTTGCACACGCCAAGAACCGTTGAAACTGATGAAGCCACCTGACCGATGAGATCACAGAGACATGTTATGTTCACATAGTGCAGTCACAGTGAGGTGATCTGGAACTGTCAGAAAGCCAACACATCTTCAAAAATGATCACAGTCCTACAGCAGTCTTTATAACTGTATTAAGCTAAAAAGTTGAATTATGTCCATTAACTAACCAATAGTTATTATTATTATTCACTCAAACTCACCTGCTCTCTTGATCCTCTTGCGCTCTTTCAGCTGGTAAGGCTTGTGATCATGTGACAAGGCCACAGCGTTGCCGTCCTTGTCGCAGAGAACGCCGCGAGAGTCTCCAACATTTGCCACAGTCAGTTCACGGTCTGACAACAAGGCTATCAAACACGTCGTGCCTGAAACCAAAAGAGGGATTCAGTATAGTTTACGGTTTCCAGTCAGCAAAAGCCCATGGATAAGATCAACCTCAAACACAGGCTCATCCCTCCTCACCTGCTTCATCATGGCTGGCGGAGAACTTCTCCACCATGTCCCGGTCCACAGCCAGAATGCGCTGCTCTAGGATGGCGGGATAGGACAGAGGGCTGTCTTTCTTTTCCCGCTCATAGGCCTGTAGCTGTTGTTTCAGAGCCTCGGGTAGGTGGGCCTTCACATAATCAGCGGCTGCCTGCGAGAAACAGCAAAAACAATGAGGAACTCGCTGTTCCTGTCACAAAAGAGCTCACGTCACCATTTGTAATTGATATTCATGAAGTTTAAAAACTTTAATAATGTGGAAAACTTTTGCAACTTTTATAATCCTTAAATAGAGTCTTTTAATGCCATCTAATGATTCTGGTTCTAAATATTACTGACAAGATTTATTGTTATATTTCTGCAAGTCATGGTAAAAATTGTGTGACCCTGGAGCACAAAACCAGTCATAAGTGGCACGGGTATATTTGTAGCAATAGCCAAGAATTCATTGTATGGGTCAAAATGATCATTTTTTCTTTTATGCCAAAAATCATTAGGATATTAACCCCTTAACTGTCACCGCCCATTTTTTTAAAAAATAGGCATTAAAGTGCACTATCCAAACTTAACTTGATTTTCAAAAAATTTAAATATCAAAAAGTTACAGAAGTTTAAATTTACTGTAAAGAAAATGCACTGTACAATTTGTATGATATTTTATATAAAATAAAAATTTTTACAGACGTTTTACTCTAAAATTGCTAAAAAAAAAAGAGTAAAGCCTTATCTCTAAATAAGGTATGTTCCAAATTTGAAGTTGATATGAAATTTTTTTTTAGATTTTATTTAGGGCGTTATACCACAAACAGCCATCAAAACTACATTGAATTTTTTTTTATGCATTTTTCAGTCACAAATGTCTAGATTTCTGTCAATATTACTTCTATCACAAAATAAGGGTACGTAATACTACTCTAAGGTACTAATATGCACCTATTAGGGGTATAAAAGGTACAAATATGTCCTTTTAAGGGTACTGCTCTAGGGACAAGCTGTTGTACCCCAAAAGGTACAATTTTAAACCCCTTTTTTTCCTGTGTGTATGAGTCATTATTTTTTTGCTCAGAAAAATAAAAATTAATCACATTCTAATGTACCAACAAATTAAGGCTGTGTTAAACATTTATCGTTTTGATACTTGAAACCCCCTTTTCGTCTTTGACTCATGTGCATTTATATTCACCCCCCACATAGCACAAAACAAAACAAGGGAATCACTGCAAAACAGAACGCAGCACAATAACCATCTTGCTTTCATAATTATTGGGCGTTAGCGTTAGTTATAGCGTTAGTTCTGGCAGGTCATGTTAGTCAAGCTCGCATCAGCTGACTCTCAGCTGATCCCCATCAACCTATAGGAATACGACACCTAAGCATTCATATATAAGGTCCCTCAGTATTATCAGCAGTTTTCGCATTGCTCAATAGCTAATTACCCTCCTCCATCCCCAGCTCCTGCTCCAACACATCTTCAAAAATGATCACAGTCCTACAGCAGTCTTTATAACTGTATTAAGCTAAAAAGTTGAATTATGTCCATTAACTAACCAATAGTTATTATTATTATTCACTCAAACTCACCTGCTCTCTTGATCCTCTTGCGCTCTTTCAGCTGGTAAGGCTTGTGATCATGTGACAAGGCCACAGCGTTGCCGTCCTTGTCGCAGAGAACGCCGCGAGAGTCTCCAACATTTGCCACAGTCAGTTCACGGTCTGACAACAAGGCTATCAAACACGTCGTGCCTGAAACCAAAAGAGGGATTCAGTATAGTTTACGGTTTCCAGTCAGCAAAAGCCCATGGATAAGATCAACCTCAAACACAGGCTCATCCCTCCTCACCTGCTTCATCATGGCTGGCGGAGAACTTCTCCACCATGTCCCGGTCCACAGCCAGAATGCGCTGCTCTAGGATGGCGGGATAGGACAGAGGGCTGTCTTTCTTTTCCCGCTCATAGGCCTGTAGCTGTTGTTTCAGAGCCTCGGGTAGGTGGGCCTTCACATAATCAGCGGCTGCCTGCGAGAAACAGCAAAAACAATGAGGAACTCGCTGTTCCTGTCACAAAAGAGCTCACGTCACCATTTGTAATTGATATTCATGAAGTTTAAAAACTTTAATAATGTGGAAAACTTTTGCAACTTTTATAATCCTTAAATAGAGTCTTTTAATGCCATCTAATGATTCTGGTTCTAAATATTACTGACAAGATTTATTGTTATATTTCTGCAAGTCATGGTAAAAATTGTGTGACCCTGGAGCACAAAACCAGTCATAAGTGGCACGGGTATATTTGTAGCAATAGCCAAGAATTCATTGTATGGGTCAAAATGATCATTTTTTCTTTTATGCCAAAAATCATTAGGATATTAACCCCTTAACTGTCACCGCCCATTTTTTTAAAAAATAGGCATTAAAGTGCACTATCCAAACTTAACTTGATTTTCAAAAAATTTAAATATCAAAAAGTTACAGAAGTTTAAATTTACTGTAAAGAAAATGCACTGTACAATTTGTATGATATTTTATATAAAATAAAATTTTTACAGACGTTTTACTCTAAAATTGCTAAAAAAAAAAAAGAGTAAAGCCTTATCTCTAAATAAGGTATGTTCCAAATTTGAAGTTGATATGAAATTTTTTTTTAGATTTTATTTAGGGCGTTATACCACAAACAGCCATCAAAACTACATTGAATTTTTTTTTATGCATTTTTCAGTCACAAATGTCTAGATTTCTGTCAATATTACTTCTATCACAAAATAAGGGTACGTAATACTACTCTAAGGTACTAATATGCACCTATTAGGGGTATAAAAGGTACAAATATGTCCTTTTAAGGGTACTGCTCTAGGGACAAGCTGTTGTACCCCAAAAGGTACAATTTTAAACCCCTTTTTTTCCTGTGTGTATGAGTCATTATTTTTTTGCTCAGAAAAATAAAAATTAATCACATTCTAATGTACCAACAAATTAAGGCTGTGTTAAACATTTATCGTTTTGATACTTGAAACCCCCTTTTCGTCTTTGACTCATGTGCATTTATATTCACCCCCACATAGCACAAAACAAAACAAGAGAATCACTGCAAAACAGAATGCAGCACAATAACCATCTTGCTTTCATAATTATTGGGCGTTAGCGTTAGTTATAGCGTTAGTTCTGGCAGGTCATGTTAGTCAAGCTCGCATCAGCTGACTCTCAGCTGATCCCCATCAACCTATAGGAATACGACACCTAAGCATTCATATATAAGGTCCCTCAGTATTATCAGCAGTTTTCGCATTGCTCAATAGCTAATTACCCTCCTCCATCCCCAGCTCCTCCTCTGTCAGTCAGGATTCAGCCTTCTGATTCTCCTTTGAATCAGACTAATTCTAAAATGTGTACATAACATTATTGAACTTTAACGATATCTGCATACATTTATGTTGGTTCTGTTCTGTTTACCCTGGGGGGGTTATCGCTGCTCTCCCTGCTCTCATCCATGCTAGGCTGCATGGATGCGCAGGGAGTTCTTGCCCAGAACAGAACCATACCGCCAATCCAAACTGTATGCTAATTGTCAGTCATCTTTGACGATAGTGGTCCTGACAGAAATAATGATCACGCCGTATTTTACTTTTACGTTTTTAAAATTCCAATTAGTTCTTAATGGTGATTCGTCATTAGATTCTCAGTAATGCATTACTGCAACAGAGTGATTTTTATATTTAAGTCAGCATAAATTAAAGGCAGTAAAACAAATACTACAATAAACTATTTAAACTATATATTTCGTTCTCATTACATTAGTGATAATAGGATTTTATCTGACTGATAATAGGATTTACTTTCTGGAAATGTGAATTTGAGGAAAATCTGCAAAATTGTCATGAAATTAATGTCACTTCGTTTTTATGATAAAAATATCATATAACGTCATACAGGTATGGAGTGAGTAAATGATGGCAGAATGTTCATTTTTGGGTGAACTGTCCCTTTAAAAGAGGCCTAAGAGCTCTAGCCAGATGCAGTTTGCAGCAGAATACAGATGAAGGGACAGAAAGTCTCTAGAGAGCGAGAGCCCTTTCCAAACACTGCCAGATCACCAAAACATATCGAGTCAAAGAGCGTGATTTCATTCCCTAACTCTGCTTCCCCATTATCAGTCAGGATGGTTTGGATTCCTTTCAACGGCTCACACTATAGTCTTGTGCGTTTTCAACTTTAAGTCTTTGCCAGTGACTCAGCAACGCCACGCTGTAAATACAATGATGAAACCAGAGAAGCAAACATAATACCTGTCTGCCAAGAGAACGCTGCAGTCTCTTTCAAAGCCACTTCCCGGACAACAGTGAGTTGCTGCTTTTCAGAAAAGACACGGCGGAGCCTCCTGATGAAGCCGATGCATTATTTACGCAGAAGCAGCAGAACACTTAAAGAATTAGCAGATATAGCCCCGGGTCACTTTGCACACGGCAGTGATTTTAAACCGAGCCTTTCAAAGCTTAGATCAGAGATTGGGGAGTTGCTGAATTCTGCGTCCCCTATATGTCCAGAGTTCAGACTAGAAGTACAAACACATTATCTAAAAAAAAAATTGTCCGCTTAACTTGAATGTAGTTAGCTACCATTTAAAAAGGGTAAAGTAGCTTCCTCAACACTACCAATATTAGCCGACAACAATTACGGTCATCGTTATATTGTGCGTCTGACAATAGCACAGTTTGCAAAGCTGTACTTCTCTGAAGGCGTCACAATCTGAATTGTTCAAAGTACGTTGATTATTGTGTCTCAGGGACAAAGACAGTGTGGGGTGGTGGTGACCCTCAGCGACCCCTTTCCACTCAAGACCCTCTCACTGCAAACACACTACAGTCATGCATCCATGTGACTTCATTCACACACCAACACAATGAGGGCTTTATTACTGCTTATAAGCACCTGTGTTCAAATATATTGCTGTATTCCTGTGAATGTGTATTCTATCAGTTCATTCCTGTGAATCTCATGAAAAATCTAAATGAATTATATTTGGTAAAAAAATAAATAAAAAAGACCATTAAGATTTTTAGCATTGTGGCATAATTTTAATGACTATTCAGCATATTTTCCACCCCAATACACACACATATATTATGTAAACATGTTTATTTTGGATGCGATTAATCGCGATTAATCGTTTGACAGCACTACTATATATATATATATATATATAAAAATAAAACATTTAAACAAATTAATAAAGGTATTGCAGCGTTTCTTATTGCATTGCATTTGCATATTGTTATCAAAATGTCAATGCAAAATAAATAAAGAAATAAACTTACAAAAGATACATTATCAAATTATTACTGTCCATAAATTTAGGGTCAGTACAATTCTTTTAAACAATTTATACTTTTATTCAGCAAGGATGCGAATAAAATGTATCAAAAGTGTCAGTAAATATTATATAGTAAATGTATAATGTTATAAAAACATTTTATTTAAACTAAAAGCAACTGTTTTCAACATTGATAATAATAGTACATGTTTCTTGAGCAGCAAATCAGCATATTAGACTGATCTCTGAAGACTGGAGTAATGATGCTGAAAATGCAGCTTTTGTATCACAGGAATAAATTACACCTTAACATATATTAAAATAGAAAAGTTATTTTAAATAGTAATAATATTTCACAATATTACTGATTTTACTGTATTTCTGTTCAAATAAATGCAGTCTTGGTGAGCATATGAGACTTCTTTCAAAAACATTAAAAAAATCTTACTGACCCCAAATTTTGAACATTTTTTGTAGGTTTCATTGTCTATGTTCAAAATACTGCCCCCATGATTTTGGGGTGAAATGTGCTGTGGTCATGTTTTAAAGGGATTCACCCATTCAGAGCATTTAGAATCAGATTTAAAGATGAAAGACTACATAGTATTTCATACATAAGCTCACAACACTCACAATTTCATACCAGCATCGCTAATTAAAAGATCAATTTACCAGGCCTAAATCAAGATTACAATAACGAGAAAACCAGACCACCGGGAATAGCGGAAGAGCACACAACGGATGCGTAAGACAAGCGTTGATTAGGCCAACTGTGCTAGTCATTGTTAGCGGGAGCTCTCTTCATTAGCAGACACCACAGGGCAAAAGATGATGAAACACAAGCCTGTCTATTTAGCAGGATATTTTTAACAGCCCCCCCTGGATCCCCCCATTGTACGGAGGAACTCCAGACCTAGTTTTTACTTGTGACATATTAAATCAT